GGTTGTTTTGGTTGACTTAAAAACAAAATTTTTACTTAGTAATTTTGGGGCATTACAATATCAAACCTGGAATGGAGCATTCTTTAAAAAAGTTGAAAAGTAGTCTGGAATGTGAACGGTAGTCCGGAATGAGGCGTTCGGGAGAAAGTGATTATTTTTCAAAAAGTGAAAAAATGGCTATTTTTCACACAAAAAAAACCACTTATAATGGTTAATTTGCTTAATTTCCCTAAATATGAGCTCATCTCGAAGTTAACACTATAGCCCTTCATTTATCAGCTAGCTTCCACTACAACCCTTCATATATCGATGTAACATCCCCCTATGGCACGTATCACAATATTGTCCGCTTTGGGCCACTCGGCGCGAAAATTTCCCAGGGGGTCACCCATCCCTGGATTGCTCTCGCCCGAGCACGCTTAACTGCAGAGTTCTTATAGGATCTGCTGCCCTCACGGCTTTAAAACGCGTTGTGTCAAAGAAGGTATCCACACCCCTTTATAAGAAAGTGCTTCGACCTTATTCATTTTCTACCCATGATCAAGCCTAACTTTTCCATCCCCCTTTTGATACTTCTCTCACTTCTCCATAAATGATTATGATAGTGACTCAGTACGTTATGTATCATTAAGGTTAACGGGAGGGCTGTTAGCCCAACCGATCTGCTCCACCTCAGCCTTCTCCACCTCTACCTCGTTTGTCGAAGATGATGCCAAACAGACAGAATGGAAGAAAGAAGAAGAGAGAAGGAGAAGATATTTGGGTGAGAGAGGAGATAGACTCTCCAGAAACATGCCGAGTTAGAGCACCGAGCTCGACATGCCGAGCTGAGGGCACGGTGTTTGCTGAGCTGACTCAGTTCTGCTTATCCCCACTCTGCATAGCCTAATTCATATCATAAAATCCAAAGCCACCACTTTTTTATCATAACAATATTCAACATTATGCCGATCAAAATTTGGAGCATTTTACATTTTCATATTCAATTAACTTTGACAAAACATGTTTCTTAATAAAAGATTGGTGTGACCCATGAGATTGTCTTCATCAAATCGCTCCTTTGGCAACGCTTGCTCAATGGTCTTCCTCATATAGCTCATCCGCATCATCAAAAGACATTAATTAAGATCCAAGTCATTAGTTGTTTCTTTGGACGTGTTTGGTAGTTGTTAGCCAGAAACTAGAAGTTGTAGCTTTTTATTTGTATTGAAATGTTCGAAAAACTACATTAAAACTTTTTATAAGTATAAAATCACATTAAAACTAAAAGTTAAAATAATGATACTTGAAGTAACTTTTGTATTATGAGTTTTTTGTTTAAAATAAAAGCTTAAAGCTAGTACTATTGAAAGAAACATTTTTCTTTAATTCAAAACGTTTTCTTAAAAGCTAAAAAGATAATAATTATGATACAATTCACTAGTTGTTTTTTTGGCTGTGTTTTGTAAAACTAGCTAGTAGCCGGTATTCGGTAACTAGTTAACTTTTATTTGTGTATAAATGTTCGGCAAGCTGCCTAAAAGATTTTAAAATGTAAAATTACTTTAAGGGCGTGTTTGGCAAACTAGCTAGAAGCTGGTAGATGAACGTTGCTAGCTAGAAGCTTGAACTTTTATTTATGCATAAGTGTTTATAAAAAATAGTTGTTAGCTTTTTAATATGTAAAATTTAGTTAGAAACTAGAGGCTAAAAGTTTATAAAAGCTATTTGAAGTAGCTTTTAGATTCGGAGTTTTTTGTTTAAATAAAAGCTAAAAGCTTCTGCTGCCAAACGATGGTTTTTTTCTTCCGAACTTTTTCATGAAAGCTATGTGTCAAAGACAACGTTATAACTAAAAGTTAAAAACTCACAAAAGCTTTATGTCAAACATAATCTTAAAACTAAAAGTTAAAAGCTCTCATAAGTTGTGTGAACTCAAACGTTTTCTTAAATTAAAAACTAGTATTGCCGAACAAAATTTTTTCTTAAATTCAAGCGTTTTCTTAAAAGCTAAAAATTAAAACCTCCTGAAAACTCTCAAAAGCCCTTTGCCGAACACACACTTTATTTAGCTTCCACTTGCAACAATCACATCTTCAAATGTCCTCTTAGAATTTGGTGATTCCATCATCGAGGCTTACATTAAGTTTTATCAGTCGCTTCCAAAACCTTAGTTTTGTATCATCCCTACACCAAGATATTGGCACCTTCGCACGAATAGACACCTCTTTCTAACCTTTACTAATATATGTTGTTTCTTTTGTTGATGGTGATGATTTGGTGGAGTGTTGTTTCCGTTACTAATGTCGATAAGATTGTGGTGGTGAGTGTCATACTCTTATTGGTGGGAGATGGGTTGGTGTAATATATAAGTTATACAAAAGAAACCTCCAAATTTTATATAGCAACCAAATGTTTGAATGAGGGTTATTATGGTCTTTTTAGTTCACACAACATTAAGGCTCATTTTAAATTTTTGATGACCTTTGTGTAAATAAAAAACACCAATGATTAAGATGGAAAATATTTCTATGTTGATTGCTATTTAACAACAATAACCAGTAAAAGTTTAAACATTTATACATAACTTGTTACTTGTTATTAACATAAGTAATTTGGTAATGGGCTTTAGTTCAATGAATGGTTGGTATACAATCTAGTTTTTCGTATATTGGTATTGGGCTTTAGTTCATTGAATGGTATACAATCTAGTTTTCCATATTACTTACATTACATAATATAGTAATTAAACGGTCTCATGATAGACATTTGGCAATGCTTATGTTAAAAAAGAAGTTAGTTTGATAACCTGGGTGGAATTACACCAAATCTTTCAAATGGGAAGTTCAAAAAACTTTATGGGTGTTGACAAAGACTTTCTCAAATCCGAGTTTGCATTGGAGGAAATTAAAGAGGAGGTTGGGTCGTGTGCGTCTGACAAATCCTCCAGATCCGATGGCCTCACTTTTAAATTTTTTTAAAAGAGTTTTGGGGGATCATTCACAAAAGATCTTGTTAATGTTGTTAAATAATTTAAAGCTACGGGTGAGATAAGCAGAGATTACAACGCCTCTTTCATCTCACTTATTCCTAAAGTTAAAGATCTTGCTACCCTAAAAGAATATAGACCAAATAGCCTCATTGGTTGTTTCGTTAAAGTTTTTTCAAAACATCTTGTGAATCATTTAAAAAGGGTGATTGACAAAATTGTGAGTGGTGAACAATTTCCTTATGTTCAGGGTCGAAGCATTCTCGATGGCCCATTCATCATTAATAAGGTTTGTGGTTGGGCTAAAAAAAGCTTAGGTCAGAATCGATGTTTTTCAAGGTTGATCTTGACAAAGCTTTTGACATGTTAAATTGGGAATTCTTAGATGAGATCTTAACTCAAATGAACTTTGGCAATCTGTGGAGAAAGTGGATTAAAGGGAGTCTCAACTCTGGTAGAGCCTTAGGCCCCGTTTGATACGCATCTTTCCAGGTCCAAACAGATCTTTCTGGCTGAATGGACCGGAAAGACTGTTTGATTTGCACAAAAGAAGGGGTCTTTCCCGGTAAGATAGGTCTTTCCCAGAAAGCCCCAAAATCATATATTTCTGACTGAATGGGCTGGAAAGACAATTATACACCAAACCCCACCTCTTTCTTTCTTTATTGGATTATTAATTTTTTTAAATAACTTTTTTTAAATTTATTTTTTATTGAATTATTACTTTTTTTCATCATTCAGCACAGTTAATCAGATGTACAATCAAACAGCATGGTTTCTTTTCCAGTCAGAAAACTTTCCCAGACAGCACTTTACCGGACAGCACTTTCCCAGACAGAAACTATCAAACGGGACCTTAGTGTTGATAAATGATGCTCCAACTAGAGAATTTGTTATGAAGAGGGGTGTAAGACAAGGTGATCCATATATAGGAATGAGATTGTAGTATAGGTACTCCTTGACCTCGTTATCATCTTTAGTAATGACTTTTTGATTGAAGTTGATGATCATATCTATTGAGGCTTGTGGTTACACATGCTGGAGTTTTAGGTTGTGTTTGGCATCCTAGCTAAAAAGTTAGTTTGTAGTTTATAAGTTAGTTTATCAATAAGTTATCTCAAGTAGTTTGTCTAAAAAAATAAAAAAAAATAAAAAAACTTATAAGTTACAATAAACTACTTTTATGGTTTTATCAAACACTAAACGGCAACAAGCTCAAAATATAAGTTGGTTTATGCATGTCAAAGAAAGCCTTAGTTGTTGGCGGGTAACTTCCAAGTTGTTGACAACTATTAGTTTGTTAGGCAAAATATAGTGGTGGTATAAAGCTTAGCATCTTATGTGGCAATCCCATATGATACGACATACCTGGCTGAGACCTCGACATGCACCATTTTGGTGCCATGAACGACACATTATTGTTGTTTTTCTCTTCCTCTTTCCTTCTTTTATTCCCTCCCTTCCCCCCTCCTTATCTCTATCTCTCTATTCATGCCATCACAATCACTCCTTGTACAATGGTGCCAATGGTAAATCCTAGGTGGAGCAACGGCATGTGGATGTCTTCGACATCATTCCGTTCAGCCTTATAGATTAGTTCTGCTAGTACTATATATTTGTAACTTTGAGAAATAATATAAAAGTTAAGTTTTTGTCAAGTAGATCTAATACAAAAAATCTACTCCTAATCGGCTAATCAACCTCTTTTCTTGGATTTTGGTTAATCAGATTTCAATTCTAACACACCACTAGAATTGGATGTCGTTAAAACTGATATTGTATTTGGTAGCAATCACATAATGTAGCAATTATTGGTGTTAGTTTCAAGAATAATCTAAATAAAATCACATGAAATGTTTTAGAATAATTTGCCTAATTACATTTATTAGCAGCATATGATAGAATTGCCGCAATCCTACCAAATGGTGGTAAAAGCTTGCACACTAATAATAAGTAGCTCAAATATTACTACTCATGTAAAAAGTGATTTGAACCAATAATTTGTATGGTAAAACATTTTAGAGATAAAATTTTATGCTAATTTCATGGTCCGAGTCATTAAACCCATGAATTCATCAACGTCAATCATCCCATCGCCGTCCGCATCCACCCCTTTCACCATTTTCCGGCAACCCTCTAAGCTACACCTCTCTCCTAGCTGCCTCAGCACCTGTAACAGCTCCTCCGCCGTTATTTTTCCGTTTCCGTCCAGATCAAACACCTTAAACGCACTCTTGATATCCCCCGTTTTGACTCCACCGTCGGACTTCTGCGCCTCCATAAACTCGTCAAAGTCAACAAACCCGTCGCCGTCGGTGTCTATGGCTTGAAACGCCTTGGTCACCTCCGATTTAGCGTTCTTGCCACCAAGTGCGCCGACGGCTGAACTGTACTCCTCCTTGGAAATCTTGCCGTCCTTGTTCTTGTCAAATTTATTGAACACCCGTCTCATCTCGCCGGCGTTTGGCTGGAAAACTGCCGGCGAACTGGATTTTGATGGCTGGAGTGGTTGTTTTGACGACGGTGGTGGTGGGGTTTTAGGAGATGATGATTTTCTTGAAACACCATATTTGAAATTGAAGAAACTCTTGCTTGACATTTTTTGAATTACAGGTTTTGATTTGATAAAATGAAGTATGGTTTGTTCTCCTTTTATACATCACTATAGACACAATTTATTTATAAATTAAATTATAATCATACGAATCTTAAAAAGTATTATAGTTTTATAAACTTGAACAATTTATTTGACTTGAAAACTTATATTCCGATTGAAACAAAATTGTTCAGGGATTTACAAGAATTTTATCCTTTGGTACACTTTTTTTCTTTCAAAAAGTTAAAATCAAATACAATTATTACAGATATTAATCTCACATATGATCCACATACAGTGAATATTTCCTTTTGTAAACACATAATGATTTATGGGTACATATTAATATTCGAATAAGTCGGCAAAAAGGAAGAATATTAATACAGCCTAACTTTCTCATCAATTTGCAAAAAGCCAAAAACAATTCGATGAATTAGATAACTTTAGTTTTGTGTAACTACATATTCTTAGCGATATGCATGATTATGTTTATTTAGAATCACAATCATGCTTTAAAAAGGTAATATAAAATATTAACTAAAAGATTGCCAGGTTGGATACAATCTGTTTTTCTGTCATCTTTTATATGTTCTTATTTTTTAGAAATGGCAAACAATCCCAAACTGGAAAAAATAAGTTATTAATTACTTGTTGATTGAATTTGAGTTAATATCTAATTGAGGCAATGTGGGTTATATTTAGTACCGAATTAAAGGCTTCTAATTATGATATCAAATGATCTAAATCTACTAAGTCAAACTCAACATCTTATCAAACCCAGCAAAAAACCATATAAAATAAGTTTCACAAAATCTTCAAATGTAATAATTACAATGTTCTGTTAATCCCATGAAAGGATATGAATTTTGAGAAATTCCATTTACATATAAAAGAAAATGAACGTTCTTTTCTTTTTGAATCTTTGGACCAAATTTCGTGGGCGGAAAGTGAAGAAGATTCGCTCATGGTATATTGCTTTGTACCAAAGAACCTCAGTTTGATGTTATCTTAATGGAATATTACCAAATGTTATATATAAGAGAATAAATAGACTTGCATGTGAAGTTATAAATTAACAAAAACGAATAATAGTTGAGATTCTTTCCATCATTTAGAATTTTTATGATCTTTGTCATATTTTAAACGCATTAGATTATATTTAAAATGTCACCTTCAGGTAAATGTGACAAACTTTATGTATCTAGTTTAACATAAGTGTCTCTATTAGTTTAACTTGATAATATACTTTACATGCGCAGATATCACGTGTTAAATATACAAAAAGGTTAAAATATCACCGATAGCACGTTTTGCCTATAATTTAAGCACATTATCGACATTCATAACCAAATATGGAGACAACGTACGTGTTTATAAGAGACGTATCCGAGTAAATAACGGATATGCACCTAACTTTAGTTTATTTACAGTTTATTTTCTCTTTTTATTGCTTAAACTTTTGGTAGAAAGACCTCTATTATAATTTTTGCATCCAATCAAAGGAGCTCAAGTGCTCTATCAGGGCCTCTTCTTCCCAATCAGTTTTCAAGGAAGCCAACATCAAACACAAAGTGAGCATTGGGCTACCAAAAGATCCATCTACAAGCTCCATAAACACATTTCCAGCAAGATTGTTAATAACAAATCAAATTCAATTTAACCTGGTATATAAAAATTTTAGATATACCGACCGTGGTTTCCACGGGTTATAATGATGATTTTCTTGAAACACCATATTTGAAATTGAAGAAACTCTTGCTTGACATTTTTTGAATTACAGGTTTTGATTTGATAAAATGAAGTATGGTTTGTTCTCCTTTTATACATCACTATAGACACAATTTATTTATAAATTAAATTATAATCATACGAATCTTAAAAAGTATTATAGTTTTATAAACTTGAACAATTTATTTGACTTGAAAACTTATATTCCAATCAAAGGAGCTCAAGTACTTGAAAACTTATATTCGACAAGATCTTGGTTTTTTTTACATTTATTATTTTTTTATCAATATAAAAATTTAGATATACCGACCGTGGTTTCCACGGGTTATAACCTAGTATATATATATATATATATATATATATATATATATATATATATATATATATATATATATATATATGATTGTATTTGATTATGTTTTAATTAAGCTTGGTATTAGGCCTTGCTAGCGGCCCAAGGCCCTCATCGTAATTTTTCTATATAATCCCCCTAATAAATAAAAATAATTTTACTACTTGTCATCCTCTTATTTATTATGTCATTTTGTGGTAAATTTAGATTAATTTATATTCATGTGTCATTTTATGGTTTTTTCTATTTTATTAAATTTTATATAATACTTAAATGTAATAAATGCAATAATAAATGTATATCCAATTCATTAATGCAACTTTTCCTTAAAATTTTTAAATTTCTAAATTGAATCTAATTATTTTAGTTGTTTATTTATTTAAATTATTAATTTAAAATTTAAAAGATAAATAAACACTTTAATTTTAATAATTAAATATTTCTCCTTTTTTTCTTATAAATTTAAATTTTCTAAACTGTTAAATCTTCATGTTTATTAATTTTTTTGAATAAACTCATATAATACATGAATCTCACAACTAGTGTTGTATAGCAAGAAATGAGAGATCAAAGAAAATATTTGTTATCATGGTAGAGGTGCACAAAATGAAACGGCTTTTTTAACCAATAAAAAAATAAATAGGTTTTTTTTCTAAATGTTCCGACTAAAAATTGGTGGTTTTGAAGTGGTTTTTTTTCTTAAATTTGGAAGATCGGTTTTTAACCGAAAAAAAAGTGTTTTGTTGCTGAGTAAACTTTGAGTAGAAACACTGATCATTTGGTGGAGAAAAATTTGAATAAAAAAAATAGCTTTTTTTACCAGTTTAATTGAAACCGGAAAAACTGGTTCTTTCATATCGAAACTTTTATTGACCTCGAGGCTTTTGTTACCTTAAACAATAGTATTTATGCTATTGGGCATGGTCAACATGTTATTACATGTTATCTCACCCAAAAGTTGTCACCTAACCATCCTAGTCATATATGGTGTTATGACACCAAGTGTGGAAATGGACAATACCAAATAACATGTTATAACACCCTCTAATTTCCATGTCATCCTTTTTATTTTCTTTTTTTGTTTGTTTGTTAAATAATTATAAAAAACAAATATAAATTAATAATACACACTATTTTAATAATAATAATAATAATAATGAAAAAAATATATTATATAAGTCCATGGTTCAAATGATATTTTTTTTGGAAATCAGATTTATAAGACAAATTTGACTATGTGTTTAATTCATAAGAATGTGGAACTTAGGGGGTCAAAACTGCCCAAACCGAAAACTTATTGTCTTCTGGTAAACCAGTTCGCACAAAGGGGGTCGTAAGAAGCCAACGTTCAAAAAAACGTTGTTTCCTTTCGTTACCACAACAACGCCTGTTAACATAACGCGCAAAAACGCAGATAAGGGGCGGTGTTCCAGGCTTGCAACGGCGTTTTTTGGTATGCCACATCAGGATAACGCCAGTAGGCGTTGCTCACACCGGCCAACCTTATATATGTTCGTGGTATGCTAGTATTCTAGTAACATAGTATCTTTTGTTGTTTTGATGAAATATAGTTTTGATTATATTATTGTTAATGAAATGATTTCTATTTATTGAAATAGAATATTTATGTGAATGTGATTCCGCTTAATGATATTTCTATATCAAACCTTTACTATGAGCAATGTTTTAAAAACCGGTTTGAACCAGTCGGTCGAACCGGTTGGACCGTGAACTGGGAAAGGGAGCGGTTGAACTATCACCGGTTTTATGTCTTTTTCTGAACCGGATCGAACCGGCCGGTTTTTACAAAAATTCGGTTGAACCGGTTCAATTAAACCGGTTGAATCGGTTAAATTGAATAAAAACACATGAAATTGAAACTTTTTGGATAATAAACTTTGATAGTTTTTTCATATCTATTAAGAGTTTTTTCTAAATAAAAGCACATGATAAATGTTATGAAGTTTTATGATGTGTTTATATTCATCTAAGACTTTATTTTTTTTTAATGCACGTGGATTAATGTAAAACTTGTGGTTATGGGTTATTTTAATGTATTTAGATTGATCTCCAATTTGTTTTCATGTGTATTTTAATGCTTGAACTTCTAGACATCAAATTCTTGATTTGTATATGTATGTATGTGTAGGAAAATACGAAAAAATATGAAAATTATAGAAACCGGTTTACTCAGCGGTCGAACCGGTTGAACCGGAAACCGGTCACCGTACCGGTTCAACTAAAAAACCGGTTTTTAAAACATTGACTATGAGAAAAAATTATATTATGGTAAAACGAAATCCATAACAGATTTAAATCCAACCTATATCTTTAACAAGCGGCTTTTTCGACTTAGACCATATAAACGCAAACATACTTCCAAATTCTATATAAAATGACTTTTTGACTCATTTGACTTCCAGTCTTGTGAGAAAGGTTTCAAATTCCATATAAAAAGACTTTTTGACTTATTTGACTTTCAGTCTTGTAACAAAATGGCATTTTACTAAGACCTTCCACATGGGTCATTTAAATATAATTTGCAATGCTACTGAGCAATAATTTTCTACCACCTAGAACTTCATCTTGTTATATATTGTTATATATGAAAGACTTGCAAATGCTTTTATAATGACCCACCAGTTTCTTCTTCTAAAAGCGGATGAATAATGATTAGTTGGTCCATCATTTGCAAGATCTTAATATTGCACCGGTGTGGGTGCTTTAAGGAAAGAAAATAAAACGAATAGAATCCAAATGTAGATTGTATTTTTTTTGTTTCCAAGATCAAAAGAATTAAAAGGATTTTAGTTGTTGCCACAGTTAAGAAGTTTATTATCAAAAATCTTCATATTTTCTCTTTCTTCTCAAATTTCACCTTTGTCCTTAAAATGACCCGGGATTCGGGAACACAAAGTTAGAG